GAGCTGTTGATCACCTGTAAGGTAGCACTGACACAGAAACCCTCCCACGGGCAGTCATTAACAGAGCTCAGAGCTGCCCTGGCCAAAGGGCAGCTGGGCTGTTCTCCAGGGAGAGCTCCACAGCTTCAAACTCTGCTAAGCAGAGCTTCTGGGCACCCAGATCTTTCAGCTCTATTTCATGTTGTGTTGTTTTATTTTATTGTGGGAAAAACACTTGTCATGGCTTATCTATCTGACAGTGAACATGTTTGGTGCTGGAAAATGAGCATCCAAATCCGTGCCTGGGCCTCCCCACCCTGACATGAAACAATTCTATCCCCATATCCCATCCATCCCTGCCCTCTGGCAGTGGAAGCCATTCCCTGTGTCCTGTCCCTCCATCCATTCTCCCCAGTCCCTTTCCAGCTCTCCTGGAGCCCTTTTAGGCCCTGGAAGGGCTCTGAGCTCTCCCTGGATCCTTCTCATCTTCAGGTGAGCACCCCCAGCTCCCCCATCCTGGCTCCAGGGCAGAGGTGCACATGAGATGTTTTGTTGTCATCTAGTCACAGAATTTTTTCTAAATCTAAAAGCAATGTTGGACTATTTTCTGTTGCAAATTTTGATGGAGAGAGCTGTGTTTGAATTGGAGAGGGATAGCACAACGATCAGCTCAGTGCTGCTCTCCACTGAGTGGAACACTGTTCAGCATTAAATCCACTGATCAGCACTTCTGACTTTTGATTTCTGGAGATTAATTCCTGAGCACTTGCACTCCCCACCAGTCACCCTAAAACCAATAAACAGAGTTCCAGAGCAGCTTAGATTTGGCTGCTGTCAGAGCTGCAGCTCAGTGGAGTCTGAAAATCCCTGGGATATCCCTCTGTGAGCCAACAGTGACATGGGCAGAGAAGGCAGAAGGCTTTGTGTACAGCTGTGCTGCATCTGGATCACAGGCTCTGAGTTTCACAAGAGCACAGTGCTGCTCCTAAAACCAAAGGAAAGAGGATAGAGGGAAACTGGGGATTGTTAGGGTGTCCTGTGCAGGGCCAGCAGGTGAACTCAGGATATTCTGTGATTTTTAGTTCCTACATTTTAAGAGCAGTTCAAAGGAAAGCTCATGTGTTGGCCCTGCTTGAAATACAACACTGAATGGGATTTGAAGGACAAGCAGTTTAGTGGGTATTTTTTCTTTAAGAAGGTAATCTTGGAATTTCTTGGCCCCATTTCAGAACTTCTGCAACACAATGGCGTTCACTGAGTCATGGCAATCCAGTGGGAACACAGGTTTGCCAGGACTGAAATGTGAAACAGAAAACAGGTATTTTATTAGGAGCAAAATTTCTATCACACACCTCAGAAATATACTTTAAATGCTTTGGAGAATTTTATATGGTCTAATTCACTTCACAATGAATAAACATCCTGGTTTATGGCAGGTGTCCTTGCCCATGGCAGGGGTGGAAAAAGGTGAGCTTTAAGGTCCTTTCCAACCCAAACATTTCTGGGATTCTGTGATATGGTAATAATTAACTCCTGTATCCATCAGTGTGCTAATAGCATCTTTCTCTTCATGGCTGGGCTAAGCAGACATTGCCAAGCTCCTCAAAGCAAACATTCTGAAAGCCACCAGTGCCCCAGCAAGGGCCAGCAGCCTCTGCCCTGAGTGGTCCAGGCTGGCACATGGCCCCTGGAAAAGTGCCCAGTGCATTTCTCATATCCACACCTTTCTGCTGCCCACTCAGTCAACAATAAACTTTTCCTAGAGTAGATTAAAAAAAAAAATAAATCTATTAAAAGCTAATAATTATTCTAATAATTTTAAAATATTTTAATTTATATATGTTAATATAAATAAGAATACTTAATAATTAGTATCTTAGCTGAGTCTTCTCTTAATATGTTAATTAATGTAATGAGCTAATTGTACACTTTAATTCAATCAAGTGTTTGGCCAACACCCTCAGGCACAGGGTGGGATTCTTGGAGTCTCCTGTGCAAACCCAGGAGCAGGACTCAATAATCCATAGGGGTCCTGTCCAGCTTGGGATATTTAAGATTCTGTGAATTATTCTGAGTTCAAAATTAAATCCTGCCCTGAGATTAAGGGAAGGATTTCCCTTGACTCAGCTGAACCAAGGTTTGAACACGTCTGTTCCTGTCAAAGGACAACTCACCAGAGCTGCTCCTTGGCACTGCACCCACTTCAGCTCTTTGCACAGAAGTTTCACATATTTCATTGCACCTCTGTGTGACAGTCAGCTGGAACTTTTACCAGCCTTTAACAAGAATCCTATTTCCTGCCTTTGCATCCCTCAGATACTCGTGTACTCTGCTTACTTCACACTCCTTAGTTACTCTCAGGCCTCATGTTCCACCTATTTCACTTACCTGTAGGTTTTCCCACTGGTTTGATGAGGTTTGCTCTGGACTGAGGAAGAGCTGCAGTGCTGTCTGTGCATCCTGTTCCTCGCAGCACAGAGGTGACTGGGGCAGTGCTGGGCAGCTGATGAAGAACCCATCCTGAATTAGATCAGGCTCTGAGAACAGCCTCAGCCTTGCTCTCTGTAAAATAGACATTAAGGGAAGGCTCCAGCTGCTCTTTCCGCGTAAGTTCAGAGTTTTGTACCAGGACAATAGCTCCAGCAGGCACAATGTGAGTTGGGACACATTTACTGTTGCAAGAGTTGGGAAATTCAAATTATACCTCTCCTTTTCTTCCTTATCCCTCTTCATCTTAGGGAGCTACTGCAAAAGCCACTTCCAGCTGAGAATCTGGGTTAATGTGTGGCAGCATTTTGGGACACTGGCATTGATTGACCACTGGTTGCTCCTTTCCCTCCATTTACACAGAGTTGTTGGGAGTGCACTAAAGGCTGTGTAATACATAAGGTAAGGTACACGGAGTAGTAAACTCCCTCACAGAACTGGGACTTCCATGACTTGATCCCTTCCCTGCTTTTATGTTGTGCTGGGTTTAATTAACCAGCTCAACATCATCTGTATATAGTTTTAATGTCATAGGAATATTTTTTCAGAAACATTCTTCTATTTCAGAGAGCACATTTTCAGTCACCAAAAATACAGTCCTCAGTAGCATTATGTGGCTTGTAATAGCTTTATTTTGAAGATTGCTTTAATACAACAGGCTGGAAGAGAACAGTGTCTGATTTTCCAAAGCCTCTTCACTGGAGTGGTTTCAAGTGTCTGAAACAAACCAACCTGAAAATCCAATTCCACTACAACCAATAGAACAAATAAGAATAAATCTGATTTCTCATGTTGCAACAACACACACACTGATATGTGATGCCTCCAGTAGCTCCTGCCAGGACTCATCTTTCCAGAACTATGACATTAAATTCACAGCTTCAGCTTGGGGGCTGAAGACCACACCATGCTCTGATGGCTCTAGAATTGAGGGATATCTGCTCTTTTGGGAGGCTCAGGTAAAAGCAATAATCTTAGCTGAACTTGTCTCTTGACCAGTATATCTGAGACTTGTCATCCTCTTTTTCAATTGTTTTTGTTTTCCCCTTGCATATATATCAGGTATTTTAGAATTAGTCTTGTAAAGCAAAAACCTGTCTGCACCAATGAGAGTCCAGCTTGCTGCTTACCTGGGGACAGAGCAAGAAGGGCTTTTTTGGCATAAAGATGTCACAGAATATTTCAGGTTGGAAAAGGCCTTTTGATAGAATCCAACCATTAACCCAGCACTGCCTGTATCTACTATCCCATCCATCCCTGCCCTCTGGCAGTGGAAGCCATTCCCTGTGTCCTGTCCCTCCATCCATTCTTCCCAGTCCCTCTCCAGCTCTCCTGGAGCCCCTGTAGGTCCTGGAAGGGCTCTGAGCTGTCCCTGGAGCCTTCTCCTCTCCAGGTGAACATTCCCAGCTCTTCCAGCCTGGCTCCAGAGGGGCTCCCGCCCCGGGAACTGGTCCAATGCTCTGGACTCTCTCCAGCAGATCTACATCCCTCCTATATTGGAGATCCCCAAACTGGACACAGCAGAGGAAAACGCTTGTCTGCCATGCCCCAAATTCTCAACAGAAGAATTTTTAATGCCCCAAGTTCCCCGACCATGACCATGGCATGAGCACCCAGAGGCCCTCTGCAAGCACAGTTCATTAGCAGTGATCTCTCTCCCAGAAAAAGCCTAACAGGTCTCAGGTTCCACACTACAGGGGGAATTCAGAACACACCTTTCTGCATGGAAGTACACACACACAAATTGCTCTCCTGGGATGTGGATCTGGGCTGGGGCTGTGTATTTTATTTTTGGAGCAATACTGGAATGTTTCCAAGACCACCATGAGACAATCACTGCACTATGGGTGGTAAACAAGTCCCCACTGCTGCTGCAACCCTTCCTGCACTGCTTACTGTGCATTTTGTCACCACTGCCTGCATTACAAGGGTTCTTGTCATGCTGTCACCTTATCCATGCACCCCTCAGAATACACACATGGAAAAGGCAAACCAACCCTGAGCCCCACTGCGCAGATCCCATCCACTGGGTGGAATCCAGACAGATCAGAGAAATAATCTGGTGAGACAAGACTGCTGAACCAGCTGCAGTAGGTAGCAATGATTTAAAATTTTTGTAAGCATACCACTTATATCTATAAAATGTTAGGTGTATTAAAGCTTTTAAGGCATTTGGTACTGCCAAATTCAAACTCACTGGTGTCTGAGCCTTACCTGTAGATAACTTACCAGCTGCAATTATGTTAAGACTCGTCAAGATTTCTACGCAGCAATTTATACTCATGGTCAGAAACCAGGTGTGGAATAAGCAGAGTTCCTGCACATTCAGCAGTAAATAGATGTTCCCCACCCAAGCACTGAAGTCTTGTACCAAAGATCTTAAACAAAAGTTAATACTAAAATAATTAACACTATAATTAGTGTTGGAATTATGCTGAAGACTAAATATGGCCTTGAGTTTATTTAAATGTGGGCACTGCTTTTTCCTTTAAAATTCACATCTTCATTTAGGAGAAAGTAAAGGCAATTCACCATCAGTTGCACAAAATGCTGTATTTTATTAACTAAATCAAAAAAGTACAGTTAAATTCACACAAAATGTCCAATATAAGCAATACCTAACATGTTTATAAGCTAGTTCTGTGTCTGGTTTGCAATTTAAATAGTGGCTGGTGTGAGCACAGCACATTAATGCTGCAAGGTGCTCAGAATTGACATCACAGTATCCCACAGAACAGTGCCCAGCCGGAGCCCTACCAGAACTACTGCTGTGGTGCACTGCAATTACATCACAAAACATGGACTGATTTTTAACAATTCCATGAGAAACCATGTCACCATTTTTAACTGGAAATTTCCTCCCTGCAGCACTGTAAATAATGCACTGAGAGCTTGTTCACTCTGAGTGCCATGCCTGGTGAGAAAGCACCAGCTTTCAGGGGATCTGGAATCTGATACTTTTGGGGAAGGAAAACTGGAGTTTTTCCACTTGAAATGCACCAAGCCAAAGGAAGGTGTATTTCAACTCCCTGTGAGCACACAGTACCAGTACCTTGATGTTCAGCTCACACCTCTACCCTAGCCTCAGGGGCCTCCAGCTTACTCTGGAAGGAGTGCCATCCCAGCACAGCCTCTTACTTACCACAGCCCAGTGTCCCCAAAGTGGCATGTGCAGCCCCAATGTCACCATGCTGCATTCCAGCCAGCATTCCTACACTTCCGTTTGGGACCAAATCTGCCAAGACACAGTTTTCATTAAGTCTCAGCAGCCTTAGAAATACCTTGTCCTTTCTCTCCACGTCCCAAAGCTGCAGAGGTTTGTAGGCTGGAGCCCAAAAGGTCCTGGTGTTATAATAAAGCCCTAAGAAAGGCAGCAGGTTGTATAGTTACCTCCTTGTGAGCAAAATCCCTGCCCTAAAACTATGCAACCTACTACCTCTTCCTAGGAGCCCCACGCTTCCTCTGTGCAGTTCTTCACTCTCTGCAGGACTTTAGCTCCCCAGCTGCTCTGCTCTTCTGCCCTGGCTGGGCACACATTCCAAGGTGACACTGTCAACACTGACAAACAGTGGCTCACTGCCTGTAACACTCACCAATGGCTCCATTTTCACTCTGCCTAAGCTGAGCTTCCCGTTCCAAAAAGCATTTATTTACGTGGGGTTTTTTTGTTACTACAGCAAGCTGCTTGCTGGGCATGCTAGCACAGAACCAGTTACAGACTGGGTACACCAAGCACAGCAGGATGAAAGAGAATGCAATAAACTTCAGAAGTCTTTTTACAGAAACAATACCACCTCAGAGAAAAGTTCTAGCTCTTGGATGCTCAAACTCCATAGCTTCACACCGCCCCGAGAAAGGTGAGAGGTCAGTTTTGGCCAAAACTGGCCAACACTTAAATTTTGCATTGGATCTGGAAAAGCTGCAGAAAAACATGTAGACTTATTAATAAAGGGTCATTTTAAGTCTTCCCTCCAACTTCTACCAAGCAGTTGGGAGTCACAGAGTTTGAATGCATTATGGAAATTGGGGTGCCAGAAGAGTTTAAATCACAATGCACAAGCTTGAGCTCCCTGTATTTTACGTTCTCCTAATTGGCCTAAGAGTAACTTTCCTCTGTGGAGTGTTCTACCCTCTACCTAAGCATGGGCATTTTCCATTCCCAGCCAGCACTGTGCCACTCACCTTGAGAGAAAAGTTATGTTAAGTCAAGGATATCCTGTGGGGGTTGCACCATTCACACTGTCAGTCCTGTGCATTCTGGCACTGCTGCTTTCCAAGCCTGAATTCATCTCGTTTTGCTCAATGAATGTTTTTAGCCCAGGACTGGCTGCAAGGGAGTGCAGTTTGTTTTACTCCTCAGGGAAGGCAATAGATTGTATAGTTATCTCCTGAACAGGGTAAAATAACTACCCTACAACTATACAATCTACTACCTCACTCTGACAGAGAAGCAAGAGCTCAGTAGCCAACCTCCGTTTCATTCTGAAGGATGGTTGATCCAACAACCCAACAACTGGAATTTGTATTTGATTGCCCCACCATACACATACAGGAATAATCTATTCTTAACTTTTTAGTCATTAGGACAGAAAAACTAATGCAGAATGAAACCTAGGTTTTCCAAGAACTAGAAAAATCTAAATACAATTCCCATAGCTATTACACAAGTATTTTGTCCTGTTATAAGCACTGCAAATACAGAAGTTCAGCAAAATCTGACATTGAGCTTAAAACTGAGAAGCTTCCATTGTTGATTATCTGCTGCTTTAGGAAAGACAGTAGATTGTATAGTTATCTCCCAGTGGTGGGTATGACCCTAAAACTATACAACCTACTACCTCATCCCACAGTGCAGGCATCTTCAGAGCTGGGGCAGGATTGCTGCTTCAGTCAAGACAAGTCAGGCTAGCTGCAGACAGCATTTTTAACACTCACCATAGAAAAAGCCTTCCCCTTGCTCCCCCTAGTCACAGAAGGAAGTTATTTTTAAAAGAAGGTTTCCTAATTTCCAAATTTTACCAATTGCCTGGGTCTTAAGTAAGCAAGCTGTAGCAGTCTCATAGCAACTACAGTCATTAAACTTCTGTTGAATTACCAGTCATGTTCCACAGGTGTCACTTCTCACCTGAAATCAGAAGAAAAGTCTATCAGCAACACTGTAGGCAGACATATATTTATTTCTTCCTCTTTGGAACTTAAAAATAATGCAATCTAGGACCACAGCTATATGACTGACTTATACAGATCAGGGTGAGGCCCTAATATTTGTAAACCTGATTTAAAAAATATTATTACATATAGTGACCTTTTCACCTATTGCACCAATAGCAAAAAAAAAAAAAAAAAAACACAAAAAAAACCCCAAAACCCAAACAAACAAAAAATAAAAACCAACCCAAGCACTGTCCAAAATACTGCCCGGAGCTTTTTCTGCTAGTCTTAAATTATATTACACTTTGTGCACAGGAATTCTTTTATTAGAAATAAAACTCAGTAAGATTATGGGCTCTAGCCTGACATTTAGTTGTTAAACTGCCTTACCAAAAGGCCACTGAAAAGACGTTTTCCCATCAAAAAGAAGTCCGAGTTTCTCTAACTGCCCCTGATGTAACTTTAAAGCCAATTTCCACATTAACACAGCTCAACATTATCTTTGAATACTGAAATGAAAACACTTGCCAGACAGATGTATGACTCAGAGTTCCCTTTGTAGCAAGGACAGCTTGAGAACAGGACTGGAAAGAAAATGATTGTTTGTCCAGGTAGCGTATACAATAGCTGAAAACGTTTAGAGAAAAGCAGTTTTTAAAAAATTAAATACATTTTACTAGTACTTGATCCCAGTTGCAGCCTGCTGTTTTCAGCCCACTCTCCAAACAAAGCCTGCACAGAACAAGAGCACCCTCATGCCCGCTGGTGTCCTTGCCAAGCACACAGCGCGTGATCCCGTGCACTCACACAAAGGGATGACGTTATTCCTTGGACAGACACAAAATCAAATTACTTTCCAGCCCCCTCAGTGCCTTACTACAGAATCCTTTATACAAATAGTGATGACAAATTTGGGTGAATCAACCTTAAAATCTCACTTGTAACTGGTATAAATCCAGTTGCAACTTATAAATCCGTATGTGCTTTTGCTAACTTACACATTTACCAGAAAATAAACTTCAGCTTGGATACAAGTACTTGGTCCTGATGCCCAAAGCAGAAATAAATCACAACAGCTCTGAGCCAGAGTCAAACCTTTACAGAGCACTGGCTCCCATCACATCCTTTTAAATCAGTTCTGGCAGAGCTGACATTCAGCAGTGAAGCTGACATTGTTTTCAGCTCTCTGCTCCTGCATCCCAGCCTTCTGCAGCTGAACAGAATCCCTATGTATTCCCATTCTTCAGGGGGAGAGGTAGCCTGGCCTGGAGCTGAGCTGCACAGCACCAACTCTGCACCTTCAGCTGGACAGTGACCCCAGGAAATTAATGAAGTCCCATGTTCAATGTCTGAGGCTGATAGCTCTGTGGTGCATGGAAAATGTTTGAAGCACGTTGAAAACCTAGATCTGGGTGTTACACACCTGTTTAAATTTTATAAAATGTAAGGCAATGCTTCTCCATTTCTTTTTAAAATTAAGCCTGAAAGACATAAGGATTACAATAAACCTAGAAATAGATCTGTTTCATTTCTCCACCTTTAGACAAAGCTTAGCTGCAAACCTAACCAACCTGACATGTATCAAACAACTTTTAATTTTAGTATTCTGCTCTACATTAATCCTCCATTTTGGGACATTTTTAATCTGTGGGTTATTTCTAACAGTCTTTCCAAGCTGCATCACCTAGGCTGCCATGTTTTTGGACAGGAGAGATCTGCCAGGTCCCCTTGGGGACCCCCGCTTCTCTCACACCATGCACCAGGGGGTTCTGGCACTCACAGCAGCAGGGAAGCCTGACAAATTATCCTGCTGGCACAGCCTCTACTGAGCTGGTGTTTTCTCATCCCCAGTGAATCCAGAGCTGCAGAAGCTCCCTGCTGCTGATGTCACCACGCTGCTGATGTCACAGCAGTGCAGCACAGGAGTTCAGGGTCATGAACCTGCAACGTACACTCTTTCAGCACAACACATTATGAGAAACAAGCCTTAACACAATCCCCGACTCATCTGCTTTCCCTGTTAAAAAAAGCCAGGTTCCCAAGGGCTGTTTTTCCTTCCAGCACGTGTTTAAAATCCCCAGAGCAGTGCAAGGGGACAAACTGACTCCAACCGTGGAGCTGGACAATCTCAGCAGCCCCAGGTCCCAGTGCTGCAGCTCTGGCTGCACAGCTCCCACCACATGATGGAGCTCCTGGATTTACACAACAGCTCCAACACCATTTCCTCAGTTTTATCCCTGGATTCCAGCAGCACTCCCTGCACTGAATCCACACTTCCTGAATCCTAGGAGCTTGCTGAGTGACCGTGTACTGCCTTCTCCAGCTGTGCCGAGCATCCCAAGCTACTGCCTCAGATGTGCCCATTTCATGGGGTTTTTATGCAACTGGAGTGCACAGCAGGAAGAAAGGGAGCAGCACAATTAATATAATAAGATATCTAATATATAATAATTAATAAATATAATTAATATAAACTTAATTATTCCTGATACTGCTTCCTCTCACTGCACTCACCCACCCCTGCACTGCCTGTCGTCACATGCAACAGGCACATCTCAGCCCCTCTTCCCAAAACAAGCTCAGGAAAATCAGATGGTGATTGACACAAAAGTCTCAGCATAAACTAAAAGTGTTTCCTCATGCATATTCAGTTTTGTCTTAATAATGTGCTAATCTGAAGGTAACATCTCCTAGCTCAAGCTCAGGCACCTCTTTTTCCCCTACTCAGATCCAAAATTGAAACATTTAATACTTCCTTTTGCACCTGCCAGCACACTGAGCAGCAAGACACTGGAGCAAGAGTAAATCACACCAGAAAGCTGCTCTGAACTGGGAAATTGTACTGAAGAGAAAAGGAGAACAAGTAGTTCCAGCACATATAAATGCACAGATGCGCTCTTGGGCAGCACCACAGCCCACACTCCCAGACAGGAATACGTGTCCACAATGATATTTTTTGGATTTTTTTACACAATATTAAGATTAATAGCACTGACTGCTACCAATAATGCCTTTATCTACTGCCTCAATTGGAAATACAGGGGTTTTTTTCCCAAAAATCTCTACCCAACTTGCATGTAATTAATACAGAGCACTCTGGCTTTAAGTAATTATCACAGGATATTACACTTGTGCTACATTTTCAATTAGTGTGCTTGGTTTTAATTTATTTTTCTAACCATGTAGTTATAGATGGAATATAATGGAATATAAATATCCAGAAACGGTGGCCTGAGAGAAACGGGAAGTCACCACTGCCCACTCAAGCACAGAATGAAGCCTATCTCCTGTGGAAAAGTAAAGTCTGTGAGCACAATTCATGATTTCTGCTATGAACACAGAACACAAATCCTGGTATCTCTCCCCACACACACGTGATTTTACAGCAATAGTACTAATCTCTCTGCATCCAAGTGGTGCATGTGCCACAGCGCTGCACAGTGCTGCTAGAAACCTCAGGAAGGCCTGAGAATGACGACACCAAAATGGTCACATTTTCTAGTCCTCTTTGAGTACTCCTCTCCAGAACACAGAGAGAGATCTTTATAAATAAATAAATGTACACTTCAGTCTCTAACATTACAAAGCCCTCAATGCCCTTCTCAAAAGAAATCATCAGTTTGGTTATCTTGCCCTGCTTTAAACATAAATGTGTGTGTGCGCATATAGATACATATATATATATGAAATACACAACTGTGTATTTATTCACTAGATTTATGTCTCCTAGAACATTCTAGGAGCAAGTAGGCTTCTTCTGCAAAAAGTTTACATATTATAACAATTACACAAATTCAGCAAGAAAGTTAGTGCACAAAAAATATTTCAAGATTACTGTGTTACGTTATTAACTGGCAATATAAACAGACATCTTCTACCCTAAGTCCTGGGAGCCTTTCGCTATTTGCAAATGAACTGATGTCTTCCACCACTAAAAACAGAGGACAATACAGAAGACAATTATCAAAAGGAAAGTGAAGATACAGCTCATTGCAGTGGGAGGACAAAGCAAGAGAACTCATGTTTTATCTAAACTTCCTTTTGACTAAGGAAGCACTAAATCTCCAGTATTAGCATGCAAAATAATTTCTTAGCATGACCTATGTGATCTGAGATTGCACATAAGATACACAGAGTACAACCTGGGAAAAACTCAGTGAAAAAAATCACAGCCAGCAATTTTCTATTAGAAATATCACAATAAAGCTATTTACTAGGTTCCTCTTCATGAAACTATCATAGGGCAAAAAAGTCTTCAAAAACATTATTGCACGTTGACTGCAGCAAGTTTTAACCACTTTCTTGGACTATTTAACACCTGAGTGTTGCCATAAACTGAACTGGTAAAATTTGACAACAGAAGCCACAGCAGCAAGTAACTGTTTGGTAAGGCTCCTGGCAGCTGGCGATGCTTGATGATGCCCTGTTTCTTAAATATTATTTAACTTATTGCTTTTGAAGGGACAGATTGATTTTCTCAAAAATTCTCTGATGGATTCAATTTGCCCCACTGCTGCTACTGAGCATGGTTCCTGTGTACAATTTGAATGGGAGCAATTTTTCCCTGACAATTAAGCACTTCGGTCACAAAACTGCCCATGCAGAGCAGTACAGATTGAGAGCACCATCAACAAGGTGGGACAGGCACATCACTAAACAAGGATTATCCCAACCTTGATCATCAGGTTGAGTTTTCACTCCTGAAATAAATCACAGAATTGTTAAGGTCGGAAGGGACCTCTGGAAATCATCCAGTCCAACCCCCTGCCAAGGCGGGGTCACTCAGAGCAGAATACATCCAAGTGGGTTTGGAATGTCTCCGGAGAGGAGTCTGGAGAGGTCTCCACACCCTCCCTGGGCAGCCTCTTTCAGTATTCTGCCACTATCATGGAAAGCTGTAATATAAACCCATAAAAACACTATTTGATGGGGTAACACTTTCATCTAAAACTGACTGAGCCATGCCAGAATAAAGTCACCAGCTGTGGCATGCCAGGACTGGACCCTGCTCTGTGCCACTGCCAGCCCTGAAAGAGAACCACATGTGCCGATTCCTGAGCTGGCCAGGGGGCTGAGCTGCCCACGCCAAAGGCGAGAGCCACTCCTGCAACGCCCAGAGGCCAGCCAGAGCTCTGGGCAGAAGCTGCAGGTACGTGTTCCACCAGGGCACCTCTGCTGCACCAGGGCGCTGCTGCTCAGGTGTGCAGCCAGCCCCGCCAGGCCGTGACGGCCCCGGCGGCGATGTGCCCGTGTCACCCCGCACGCCGCCGGGCAGGGCCGCGCTCCCGACCCGCTCCAGAACGAGCCGCCCGCGGGGAACCGGCGGGAGCGGCGGGCCCGGGAGGGCGCAGCCCCACGCCAGGTAATGGTGCTCGCCATAAACGACAGCCCCGAGCAGCCGCCGAGCCCCCTGACAGGGGCTGGGCCGCCAAGGCACTTCCACCTACTTCCTAAGGGATTTTCTTCACCTTTCGCCCCTCGGTCCGAGCTCTGCCCCCGCTGCCGCCCTCTCGGTGCCGGGCAGGGCCGAGCCCCCCCCCAGCCCCGGCACCAGGGGGGCTCCCCCGGCCAAGGTCCCCCCGGCCCCGGCAGTGACGTACCTGGCGCCGACGGCTCCCGGGGGCGGCACTTCCGGACCTTCCCGTGAGCCTGGAGGAGAGCGAGGGAGAACGAGGGGAAAAGGCATCGATGAGGGGAATAAGGACAATGAACCGGGCCCGCGGCAAAGGCGGCGGAGAGGCTGGGCCGAGGCCCCGCACCCGCCCGTACGGGCCCTTCGGCTCAGTCCCTCCGCCTCCACCCTCCCCCCGGCGCGCCCCGACCCCGCGACCGCTCCCGCGGCCGCTCCCGCGCCCCCCGCCGCCGCTCGCCGCCGCTGGCCGGCGCCGCCCGGCGCCGCCGTCCCGGTACTTGCGGGACCCGGATGAAATCGCGGCCGCTGCGGCCGTCGCTCCCGCGGCACCACGGGAAGGGCGCCGCGCCCCGCCCGCCGCAGCCGCCGCCCGCCCGTCCATCACCCACCGCTTCCCGCACCCATTGGCTGTGGGGCCGCGAGGTCCCGCCCCCGCGCAGAACTGTAACTCTTCATTGGTCAGCAATTTACAGGACTCCGCCCCCTCCGCCATTTATTTCGGGCGCGTTCCACAGCGGTCCCGTAATGGCGCCCCCGGCGGCCGCGGGCCGCGCCCGCCTTTCCCCGCCTCCCCCTCGGCCCTGCCCTGCCAGGCGTAGGACGGCGCCGCCCGGTCCTGCCCTACCCTACCCTACCCTACCCTTCCCTGCCTGCCCTGCCTGCCCTGCCCTGCCCCGCCCCGCCCTGCCCTGCTGGGGGTGAACCGCCCTGGCCGTGTGTACCCTGCGGCCCGGCCCGCGCCCCTCGGGCGTTGGGGGCGGTATTAGCACCACTACAGGGCTCAGGGGCTTTGGCCTGTCCGGGGCCCATCGCACAGAATCGTGGAATCCTCAGGGGTGAAAGAGCCCTTTAATGTCACTCAGCGCTGACTCTTCGACCACTAAAGCACCCAGCGCCACACCGGACACCTTTGGCACACCTCCGGGGATGGTGACTCCACCACTGCGCTGAGCAGCCCCTCCAATGCCCAACCACCTGAACAACGAAAACGTTTTTCTAATATCTAATCTGAATCTCCTGTCTCAGGTCAAAGCCATTTCCTGTGATCCTCTCACTGCAGGCACAACACCACCTCACTAGGGTCCAAGTAACCTTTTCTGGTTGTATTCCTGATTGATTTTTGTAGCCTTTGGGGATGCAGAGGGTCTGCAGGGAGCATCAGAGCCTTTCAGAGGAGAAGTCCTTCAGCTCCTTAGTGTGTCTGCAACATCACACTCATCAGGACTCATACAAGCTCAGAAAGTGAAATGCTATGTTTAAAATCAAACTTCAAACATAGCATTCATTTTCCATGTCTCTTAATTTTCACAAGATTTTTGGGATAGGTCTTGATTCTAATAAATAAAAGTATTGGCTATAATATTCAATCTAATATTTGTAATTATATATAACTATATATATAATAATATTCCATGTCAAATATTGAAGTAAACAAAACTGTGTGAATGCATAATGTATTCTTGCCAGAATTTTTTTGAGAAAATTTTTAAATAATTAATTTTGTCAGTTCTTAACAAAGTTTTTAAAGTTTATAGAGGTGGAATTAAGAAGTTTTTGTGTGTGTGGTGTCCTGCTTCACTTCAAAAGCAGTAATTTTTATCCCAGATTCAGAAAGTGTGCCTTGGTGGTGGTCATGACAGCAATGAACAGATTAAACAATGACCCAGCTACTGACTGGGTAAGGCAGATGTTTTGCATGTTGAACAAACTAAATCACGATGCTTTGACAGCTAAAATGCAGTTTTTAATCCTGTGGAGATAAAACTTGAAGAAGTAAATCCTCCTGGTGCTGTACTGCGCGTTATCTGTAATGTCGAGTGTGTTTTGCCTGTTTTTCTGAGCGCAGGGCGAGGAGCGGCGAGGAGCGGCGAGGAGCTGCGCGGAGCCGCGGGCGCAGCAAGCAGCGCTGGCGGCTGCTCTTCCCCGGAGCTCACGAGATGGGCCGGGAGCGCTCCGAGCTCTGCGGTACCGCCCACAGCCGTGCTCGCTCGGACACCGCTCGGAACCTCGCTGGCTCGCCGGCACAATTGACTAGAAGTCATTATCGCAGGGTATTTTCCAGGAGTGCTGCTCTGAAATGTGAATTTTAAGGAATTTAGAGATTTTAGAGGAGCTAAGATTTCAGTTAGCGATAAGCCTCACTAGAGTTAATTAAAATAAATGAGTAGGCCTTGATGAAGTTAAGAGTTAGTAGTTAACTAATAATTGATTGCTTGTCAGCACAATGTTTAGTTAGCTGGGTTTAAAATGAAGAATATAGAAACTGACAAATAGCTTTTAGGAACATAAGACAATTGTGGGCCTCCTCTGTTCTGAAACCAATTGAAGACAAGGAATGGGAGTTCTACCAAGAGTTCATTTGTCATATTTGCATTGAAAAGGTAGAAAGGTCAGAACGAGGAAGACTTCATGTACTTCCACATTGAAAGGGACTCCCATGAAAGGGAACACCGAGCCATTTCAAGGAACAAACTACGCCTGCTTAAATAGTTTTTGAAATTATTAGCATAAAAAGCGAGGAATGGGATGTACCAAAATTATAAATACGTATTTGTATTTTGGGTATTCAATACTTGTATGAATAAAAAGACTCTGTAATCACCTAGAAGCCACGGTGTGTATTTGGGAGCTATCCCGCAACGCTGCCTGGCATCAAATAAACACACACTTTCTATCTTTATACTGTTAGAGAGCTTTTGTCCGTCACAGTTGGATATCGGTACTAGATCAATATCCATATTATTTTAATAAATCAGCTCAGAAAAGGGAAGATGTGCCTCCTTTTGGTCATAATTTGGGAATAAACTTCTGTATCTTAATGTTATTTTTTTTATTATAATAACTTTGATATGTAAAGACTTTGTGAGGTATTGATCAACACCTATGATTTCTAATAAATACATTTTTGACTTAGTAGGCAGCTAGCACTTATAGGATGGAAAGTGTGCAGATTTCTAAAATGCAAAGAGATAGAGAAAAATTCATAGCAAGTTTATGTTTTCTGCATGTTCTTTAAAGATTTGGGATCTTCTGTCTGTTCTCCTAGGTACAGATTTATTCAAGCTCAAATTTACATCTCTCCAGTGAGCCTTCAATTAGACTATTTGATAAGCTAACAGGTTCCTCCATTCCTCAACTAAATGATCTGCAAAGTAAATAATAAGTAAAATGGTTTGAGTAATGCAGGAGCACCTTATTTCTCTGATAATTCAGTATAATGTAGAAAAACATTTTGCTGTAAGGCTTGAGTAGTTATCAAGACAGTACTGTTTGGGTGCTGCTTTTTGCCAGGGGTATAGAAACCACATAAGTCATCCCTCATCTATTTTCAAATACATAATGTGATGTATAGCAGCTAGGAAATTAGAGTGAATGGATTAATGACTGAAAGAAAATCAGTAACTGGGCAGGTTTAATCATGAACAGCTGGATGAGGCTGCCTGTGTCCACACACACTGATCAGACATTGCTTTTGGGGATGACAAGGCCTTGTTATCATGTCAGTCATGCCCCAAAAACCAGTACTGAGCACACAGTGTTGTGTGGCAGGGCTGGTGCTGCCTACAATTGAGGGATTCACCAATTGAGTTGAATTTTGGACTTGACAATGCTACTGCATGTAGAACCATGAAATGTCTTATTTAATGTCACATTTGTCCAATGCCATATAACGCAGTTCTTGTAAAAAAACCAAAAACACCAAAAAGAAAAAACCCCCAAAAAACCCCAAAGATTGAGAGATTGGATGCAGCTGCCTGGCAGGACATGCTCTCCTCAGTGGGTGGGCATCTCTTGAGATCCATCCCACACAATCCTGCCCCAGCCTGAAGGTCACAGCAGGCTATGCAGTCACAGCAGGCTCTGGGGTCACAGCAGGCTGAGGTCACAGCAGGCTCTGAGGTCACAGAGGTCCCCGAGCCCCGTTGTTGCAGAGCACCACCACGCCCGAGCAGGCAGTGCTTGAGCACAACTGCTGTGGCAGCAGCGGCGGTGGCAGCAGTGGTGCTGAGACTGGGACAGCGGTGTCAGGAGAGTGGTGGCAGCAAGAGCAGCGGGACTGGCACAGGGCAAGGCACCATGGCCCTTGCCCTGCGCCTCCTCCTCCTGCTGCTCCTGGCCGTGGCCCTGCCTGCCAGGGATGCCCAGGCTGCCCTGATGCAAGTGCGGGGAGCAGGTGAGCCGGCAGCCTTGCTGCCCTTTCCCAGGACAGCGCTCCCTGCTCTCTGGGAAGCATTGGGGATGGTTTTCCTATGGGCTTTAGGGATGCTTTCCTCTGTGGGAGGAACAGAGTCCCAATGGGCCTGGGGCTGCTCCAGCCATCCTCCCAGGGATGTTGCACAGGGCCTACCAAAAGTCTGGAGAGTGGCCAGGAGCCAGCCCAGAGCTCGCCAGGCCCCTGTACAGCTTTGGCCTTGTCCATTGTCACCTGGCTCCCACAGCCTTACTTATCCCTTGCAATGCCCAGTTCCCAAAGGCAGAGGGGGATCCCGGCACACCATGAATAACAGAATCACAGAAAGACTGGGTTGGGACGAGACCTTCAAGATCATCAAGTCCAGCCCAGCCCTAACACCTCAGCTACACCATGTCATGGTGTGCCACTTCCAGTCTTTTTTAAAACACATCCACGGATGATGACTTCACCACCTCCACAGCAGACAATTCCAGTACTACATCAACATTTCTGTAAAAAGCTTTTTCCTAATATGCAATGTATATTTCCCTTGGCACAGCTTAAGACTGTGCCCTCTCATTCTGTCAGTTGCTACCATGGAAATTGTTCTGATCTGTGCTTCCTTCTAGATTGGGATGCTGGAAATCTTTTTCCAGCACCTTGGCTGGAAGATAATTTGGATCCAGAGGGTCTTCCCACAGGTAAGATATCTGTGTTCCTCCATGGAATAGTGATTGACAACCTGGCAAGAAGCAGGTGACAGAAGCTTCTGCGGCTGTTCAGGTACAGGTGTGTCAGCAGAAGTGAATTTTCCAGCTCCTGGGCTGGATGTTGCGCAAACGACTGGCTCCCATTTCAGGGGTGAGTAATGTGTCCTTGCTGACCCAACAGTCTGAGCCCTGGTTTTGTGGGATCCAGTTCTGGGAAATAGAACTACTTTCTCTTAAGGTCCTCCAAAAGGAAAGACTCAAGCTAAAGAAGAAAATAAATCTCTGAAGCCATCTGA